AAGAGCACAGGGCTCGAGCCACTTACATCACCCAGAGCAGGCTGTGTAACTCCCACCATCTTGCAGGCTCAGGGCTGCAAACAGGTCCAGGGCACATCTCAGGTTTAAGATGCAGCTGCTCCAATTGTCCAAACCTGAGCCTAAGCCCCAACTTGTGCCAGCACAGCTCATCGCTGCCTCGCCCACCTGCATCCCCTCTTGTTGAGAAAGGAGAACCTATAGGAGTCATGGCAGACAGCAACTGCATGCAAGTTCCCAGGAAATCATAGAATCCCAGAGAAGCATGGCTGGAAGGGACCTCCAGAGGCCATCTAGTCCTAGTCCTACCCCCTGCCAGAGGCAGCCTCATCCCCACCCAAACCAGTCTATACAATCCATAATCTAATCTAATTTAAGCCATAAACTAAACTCATCCCTAATCTAAACTCTGCATAAGGCTATTGTCAACCCTGACACAACACAGACCTAACACCCTACCCTGCCATCAATAAAGCAGGGGAACCATGGTAGCCAATGTCCCACATCTATGAGTTGTCAGTATGTGCTCAAGAGGTCCTGGGTAGAGGGCCCCTGCTACAGAGGAAGGCAAAACCCCCCACAGTCCATACTAATCTGACCAAACTTCCTTCCTTACCCCAAATATAAGGTTTTACCCCAAGTACAAAAGCAAGGCCTTCTAGATGTGAAGGAAAGGCTACAGCAGTCCTCCGAGGAGGGTATGTAGAGCAGGTGTAGGGAGGTGATGCATCCCTTGTACTAGTCAGACTGCTACTAGGATGCTGCATACAGTTCTGGTGTCCCAACCTTAAAAAAAAAAGGTTGCAAAAATCTGAGTCTTGAAAAGAACGCCAAGAATAATACAATTTAAAACAGGAGAGACTTGAGAGGCTCACTTTATTCAGTTCATTAGAGGTTAAGAGGTTAGTCAACCGTGGTCTACTTACACAGGAAGAAGGTAACCAGTATAAGAGGGCTTGTTAATGTAACACGAAAGCTCAACAAGAACCAATGGCTGAGAACTGAAATTAGAATAATTCACTCTAGAAATAAGGTACAAATTAGTAATGGTGAGGATAACAGACCACTGGAAGTTTGTCAAGGGATGAGACAGACCCTATCATTTGAAGTGTTAAAATCAAGATTGGACAGCTTGTCAGAGAGACTGCTCTGATATACCACAGGTTACTGGGTAGATAAAGGAATTCTGTGGCCTGTACCAGAATTCAGACTAGATGTTCTCAACCAGCCCTTCTGGCCTAGAAACTCCTCTGGATTTGAGGCAGCTCACAGATGGCTGTCCTGTGAGAGCCAGATAATATTAGCAAGTGCAAATGAGCTAACACCCAGTAAGTAGGTTAGTTCTTGGCTGGCAGCTTCCACAGCTTTCACAGGGTAAGTGCTAGTGCAATGTGCTGAGATGAAACTGGCTTCCAGCCTGTGCCACTCCTCACTAATGAATTCTGCTGTTTTGATTTTTAACTAATACAGTTTAAAAACAAAAGGATGGGGGGAGAGGATCAAAACACTGAGCAGCATTTAAATCATTATTTGTGGTCTCAATTGTTTTTTGAAGAAATTAGAGGACAACAGAGCTCTCCATTAATGGGAAACTATAAATGCTGGGTTAATGAAGAAAAAACAATCTGGCTTCTAACACTTCAGAGCTGGTCCTATACACCTTAGGTGCATCTGTGTTACTTGCACATAGAATGAGGGCCAATATCAGACAGAACTCATGTTTGTTATTTATGTTCACTACTTCATTTTATTCTCTCTTTTATGTGATCATATGCTTGCTATGTTGTTTTAATTTTGCATAGGCTTGTGGACTGGATAATCTTATTGTGCATTTTTTAGCAAGAATTATATACTGTATAGGTGGCTCCTTTATTGTATGAAATTGTTATTGTACTGTTTTGGCAAGTCATAAATCTACTACTACTACATGGAGCAGCACAAGTAGAAGAGAGGAAAAATGAATCCTCACGGGATCAGTTACAGGGATGTGACAGTGAAACCAAAAGCATGATAGTGAGACAAGGCTCCCATCAAGGGTCTATGTGCAACCTAACTTTTAGAGTACAAAGGAAAGGCTCTGTACAAATCTGTAACTGGTCTGCTGTGCCTGCAGTGACCGTACCACCAGCCCTATCAGTTAGCTTGTGTATTTGCTTAATAAGATCAAATTTGCCTACTGGCCAATTCCAGCTTTTACTTTTTCCATGGAGAGCAGATTTTTGGCAGCACAATAAGCTCGCTCTCTCAAGACATTGGTTTGTCAAACACCCTATCAAATGCTTTAAGAATGTATTTGCCTTCAGTTCTATAGACAAGTTAGATGCCCCCTTGACTATCTGCATTTGTGGGTTGTTGTTTCATTCAAATACACAAGGGACTACTCTATTTTGAACTCAGGAGTAGGGCTGGTGTGGTCTTACACAGACTTATCAGAGTGGCTTTCTCACACAGCTCCATCATAAGTTCATTCTAGGAAACAAGCTAACGTTTTGGTTTTAACAGTCTGTGGTTACTGGTCTTTCTATGCCTGCTTGTTGTGGTAAGCTCCTACAGATTGTGGTTCTCTGGGTTATAGGGCCATGGTGAACATTCTCACCAGATACAATCAGTTTCTTTTTATATACGAGGGAGGAATCATGGCAAAAATGTTCTGACTGACAGGCCCCAGATGACCAGTATGTGGGAATGCAGCAGGCTCAGAGGCTCCATCCCCTTCTGCCAAAGCAGATCTGTACCTGTGACCAGCTTTTCCTGAACAGACAGGAAGTCTGCTGAGTTTCCCCTTCCCCTTTGCCTGAACTGATAACATTCTCCATACATGCACTTTTCTAGACTTCTAGGAGTTTTCTGGAGCCCCTCACCCCAGATTTGCAGTTGCCTTATACTGGGGGCCTCTACTCTGACTTGCAGGCGGTTTTACACTGGAAAAAGGGCCTGAAGTACACAAGTGGTTTTTGGATTTTTAAACTCTCCATAACTGGGGCTGCTTGGATCCTAGCTATGAGTTCAGCCACAAGAGACCAAGCATGACATTCAAATCCAGGCCCCAGATCTAACTCTGGGGGTGGCCAGACCCAAGCTTTTGGCTCAGATCACTTTGTCCTTTGCCCTGCTTTCCCAAGGGTGCTTTGCTATAGAACTTGTGGTTTATTTGCATGACTAGTACTGCAGCAGAGCTGGAGAAGGCAGCTCCTCCCAGACAGCACACACAGCTCACTGCAGAAAAGCTAATCTGGGTGGGGTCAGACTGGCCTGCAGAGTTCACAGGCTCCAGAGAGGAACAGGAAAGCTCAGAAAAACCTCTTCTTGGCTGAACCCTCCAGCAATTCCTACATCCCGATCTGTGTAAACCCTGACTGGCAGCCAGGGGAACTGAACACCCCTGCTGGGAGGGGCCAGAGGTGGCTCCAGGGCACTGTTCTGGGGTTCAGTGGCACGCTGTTGTGCACCGAACAAACACAGGGCTGAGCAAAATGAGTCACTCTGGGTTGCACTGGTTCTATCTAGATCTCGGGGGACAGCCCTCCCAGTACACACACAACCACCCTGGCTGGGAGTGCTCAGCCTCTGCTGTTGTCCTACAGAACAAAGAGATAAGAAAAAGGCAACAGGAAGCACATAAAGGTATTTGTGTATGGAAGGAGTCATACCTAAAGGCACTTCCAGGGGCTCCTTCTCACACCCTTCCCTCCTTCCCCCAACCAGACCTCACGGCCAGAAGGATTTCCTGGAACAAGTGAATTGCTAGGCTGGAATTTGCTCGAAAGCAACAGGGAAGTTACACAGGGCTTTGGGGGATGCTGGTGAGGAGAAAGAAACAGACAGAGTCACAAGCTAGGAATTTGGTGCATCCAAGCCAGTAGCAGCAGAGAGATATTGGCCAGGCCCAAGTTTGCATAAGCAGCTGGCTCTGGGGTGCAGCCCTGGTCTGCAAAACAAGTCAATCCACACAGGGATGGGGACACACCAAAGTCAAGATGCATCCACTTGTTATCTGCACTGCAACTGGCTCTAGTCGGTGCCTTCAGCCCCGCACTCCCTCAATAACACCACTGAAGATGGAGAGCAGCTGTACTCAGTTTTGTACAAGCTGTTGAGCTTGGCGGTGATGTGGGTGTGATGTCAGGGTGGCCTCCATCAGTGCAGCAGTGCTGGGTCATGTGCACAGAGGACAGGTGATGCCTAAGCACCCTCACTACGCTAATGCTCAGACAGCAGGAGCCCACAGAGAATCAGGCAATTCTCCACAGGCCTGACTTGCTGGACTGCACTAATTTGGCTCACGTGCATGTAATGCTCAAAGTACCTGAAACAGCTTGTGCCTTTGTATATGCTTAAGCAACTTTCACTGTCCAGCTGGGGTTACTTGTTGATTGCTTACTATGGGAGTCTCATTTTAGTGAATGCACTGCTTATCAGCAACTTGCCCAAAGGCATTCCTGGATGGCCTAAATCTGCTTGAAATTAATTTGTCTGCCAGCTGGAGTCCACACCAGCAATACAGTGCAGCTTTGGGCTGCCATTCAGAATGCAAGAACTACTTCAGGCTTCACAAGCAAGGTCAGCTCCCAGACTACTGCACCTGGCAGCACAGTTTGGGGAGGTGGTGAGCGGCCAACAGTAGCAAAAGAGCAGGTTAGAGATTACTTTAAAAAGCTGCATGTGTAAAAGCCCATGGAGCCAGATGGAATGCACCCGATGGTGCTGAAGGAGTTGGCCAATGTGATTGGTTGCAGAGCCACTGGCCATTATCTTTGAAAACTTGTGGCAATTGGGAGAGGTACTGGACAACTGGAAAAGAGCAAATATAGTGCCCATGTTTAAAAAAGGAAAAAAGAAAGATCCAGGGAACTACAGACCAGTCAGCCTCACCTCAGCCCCCAGAAAAATCACAGACCAGGTCCTCAAGGAATCTATTTCTAAGCACTTGAAAGAGAGAGTGGTAATTAGGAACAGTCAGCATGGCTTCACCAAGGGCAAGTCATGCCTGCCCAACCTGATTGCCTTCTATGATGAGATGAGATTCTGTGGATGCGGGGAGACCAGTGGATGTGATATACCTTGCCTTTAACAAGGCTTTTGATATGGTCTCCCACAACATTCTCACATGCAAGCTAAGGAAGTACAGGCTGGATGAATGGACTCAAATGGTAAAAGGTGGACAGAAAACTGGCTGGATCATTAGGCTCAAACGGTAAAAGTCAATGACTCTGTATCTAATTGGCATCTGTTATTGAGTGCCCCAGGGGTCAGTTCTGGGCCAGTTTTGTTTAATATTTTCACCAGTGACCTGGAAGATGGCATGGAGTGCACCCTCAACAAGTTTGTAGATGACACCAAGCTGGAGGGAATAGGAGATACACTGGAGGGTAGGGCTAAGATTCAGAGAGACCTCAACAACTTGAAGGACCGGACCAAAAGACATTTCATGAGGTTCAGTAAGGATAAGTGCGAAGTCCTGCACTTAGGATGGAACAAGCCTATGCACTGGTACAGGCTGAGGACCAACTGGCTAAGCAGCAAATCTGCAGAAAAGTACCTGGGGGTTAGTGTGGATAGTAAGCTGAATATGAGCCAAGTGTGCCCTTGTTGTAAAGATGACTAATGACATACTGGACTGAATTAGTAGAAGAGTTGCCAGCAGATTGAGGGAAGTGATTATTTCCTTCTGTTCAGCACTGGTGAGTCCACATCTGGAGTACTGTCTAGTTTTAGGCCTCCCACTACAGAAAGGACGTGGACAAATTAGAGTCCAGCGGAGGGCAATGACAATGGTTAGGGAGCTGGGGCACGTGACTTCTGAGGAGAGGCTGAGGGAACTGGGCTTATTTAGTCTGGAGAAGAGAAGATTGAGAAGGGATTTAATAGCAGCCTTCAACTACTTAATGGGAGGTTCTAAAGAGGATAAAGCTGGACTGTTCCCAGTGATGGCAGATAACAGAACAAGGAGCAGTGGTCTCAAGTTGCAGCAAGGGAAGTTTAGGTTAGATATCAGGAAAAACTCTTTCACGAGGAAGGTAGTAAAACACTGGAACAGGCTATCCGGAGAGGTTGTGGAATCTCTATCCTTGGAGATTTTGAAGACCCAGCTAGACAAAGCTTTGGCTGGAATGATCTAGGTGGGGATGGTCTTGCTTTGAGCAGGGGGTTGGACTAGATGACCTCCTGAGGTCCCTTCCAACCCTAATTTTCTATGATTCTATGACTAAGCAACACTGGCTTGGCTTCTTCAGTAAAACCAATCTCTCCACCTTGGTGCCTGGGATCTTGCTGTCCTGCCAGCCACAAATAAGCAGCAAGCAAAGGAAAAGGAGAATGAGAAGTGAGGTAAAGTGCTACTTGTGATCTCACTGTTTCACTAATCCAGCTAGTGGCTTTATAATAAAGAGCAGGTGATGTGCCTGCTTATCTCAGGTGCAGGGGAACAAGGTTCTTCCATTCCTGCCCTCCTGCCTGTCCTTCTCTTCTGTGGACATACCAATCTACACAACAGTACTCTTCCCTGAGCCATGTGCCTCTCCAATGGGGTTCCCAGGAGTACAAGACTCAGCAGGGAACAGGAAGCAATGTTTGCAAGCAATCACAGAGCTGATTCTCATGACTACTGTCTCTCCCCCTGGGTCAGTAATTGATCTGAGCAGCCACAGTAATAACTGAATCAGGAACTCGTGTTTATGTTATTAAACTGTGTAACTGCTCAAATCTACATTAACTCACTGATCCAAAACTCAGTGCACCCTTAGGACTCTGCTTTAATGCTTCTTGTTGAGACTGCCTTTCACAGGGCTCTTGGGATTGTGGGTCAACATCACAGCAACTGCCAGCTCAGGGCTGGAAAAAGAGACAAACAAGCGCTCTCACTGCAGAGCTGGGAGAGTTTTCCACTGTTCTGGCCCCAATGTATACTGGCTCCCCCTTAGCAGCCTCCTGAAACTAGGTTGGGCCTTGTTCCTTCAGTGTGGCTCTGCCTGCAGGGGACGACACTCCAAGTCCAGGACCAGGTGGTGCACATGGGGCGCATAGGACTTCACTGGCTTGATGTGCAGGATGTTTATCGTCCATGGCTCCCCATGCAAATTCTCAAGCAGAGACCTGATCTGAGCTCCCGTGGCCTCTGCCCACCTCTGCCATTCAGGCCTGGTCCCAGTGAACTGAATCTTCTGCACAGAATCCATCACATCAGCAGTCTCTGGGCTCCCGTGGTTCCTCTGGTTCCCGCTGTCCTCCTGTCCATTGCAAAGTGACTGCTCCTTCAACAGGCCACAGGGCAGCTGAAGAGCCTTTGCAGGGAAAGACTCCACATTCTGGTGGATGTGGAGAATCCCCCCCGTGTCCTTCCGCAGAACCTGGCAGGCGATGGGCCAGCCCTGCTCTGAGCTGGGAATCAGTCCCAGATTCACCCGGTCAGCCACGTCCCGCAGCTCCAACTGTAAACAGGGGCAGTGAGGAGGATGCCACAGAGAGAGTGCATACAGTCACACACTTTATGGCATCTGCCAGCCAAGCTCACTGCTCTCACCAGGAACACCTGGCATCCCCCATTCCTCCCACCAGCTCTCTGGGAGTCCCCTCCTTTCCCTCTACTTCAGGGACTCCCTGCAACCTGCTACCCTGTCCTTGACTCATCCCCCGCATCACTGTCCTCTATTCCCTCCTACTGTGTGTCCACCACCCCTTTTGTGTGTCCCTTGTGCCCTCATTCTTATTCCTTTCCCTTTCCTCTGGGACAGAAGTCACTCAGGGAAGTACTGAAAAGATAGGCAGAGTGAGGCAGGATACTATTATGGTGCAGGGGAATAATAGCTGCCATCAGACAGTTCTTTGGCCTAGGAACAATTTCAGGCTTGGTGAAGCCGAAGGTCTGTTAATCAACTGCCCAGGACTCGGTGCTCCCCAGAATCCCATTACTCACCAAAATTAGTAGGGTTCTGTCTATCGAAGCCCAGAGCAGTCCTGATGTTTCTGAAGTGTTCAGATGCTCTGGGCAAAGCAATCAGGGTACATCCTGACACGAGCCAGGAAATGCCATCACACCCCCTGGGGCAGGGCCTGTCTCTGTCAAGACTTGCTTTACTCTGCCCAATGCAAACAGCTTAGGTAAAACAATAACTACTGAAGATGTTGGGTGGATCCAAAAGGTGTGTGTGACAGAGGTGCAACTAAGAGCAGTGGGATGCAAAGTACTTGCTGGTTAACCAGACTGAAGTCCCGATGGGGAGCTCCACCTACCAGGCTGCAGAAAAGTGTCTCAGGAGAAGGGCGTGGTCCCCCAGCACTTGGGACAGTTACAGACAGAGGTCAGTGCTCTGGAAAAAGTACCACATGCCCCAAAGGATGGAGCTGATCTGGTCCTTTTTCTTTCTGCACCTTAGAAACATGCAGCTGGTCAAAGACAACACAGGCCTTAACACACCCATGTCCCTGTTCTCTCTCCTGACTGCAGACACTACAAACCCTGTCACATGAGAAAGGTGGAGTGCGTGGGGCAACTTCCCAAGGGAGAGCTCACAGTCGCATTCACTCTCCTCCCTAACGGGCCACAGCTCCCCACCTTTGAGGCCCTGCTGTGGCCCTTTGGTTGTGGAAGGACTACTCTCTGCTCACCTGCCTGTTATCCCCTGGGTGAATCCAGCACTGATCCTGCACGCCATTCAACTCCAGGTTCCTCCTCAAAGCTTCCACAGCATGTGGGTTCCACTCGCAGGCATGGACAAAGGCCACACCAGCATGAACCAGGAAAGGCAGCGTGAAATAGCCGATCCCTGTGGGCAGAGGAGGGAGAAACAGCAAATAGCACAGTGACAAAGCAGCACTGGACCTGGAGCAAATTTCTCATCAGGCCCAATAACTAGACTCCAGGGCATCCAGCTGGTAGGAACTTGTTAATGCTCTTAAATCTGTGATTGTTCCAAACTTGATCAAAAACGGTTTCAAAATTTCCTATGAAATGGTAAATCTTGATTTGAAAACATCTTGGTTCCACTCCAGGGTAGAACTACCTTCAAGCAAGCAAGGAGCAAATGCACTGGCATAAATTATAACACTGTATGTACCCAATCCTCTACTACAGTCAGGGTTATGTTTGGCAGGTGTAGCACAAATTAGCTCTGTACTCTTCCCCAAATGCCACACTCATCCCCTCCCACTGCCTGATCTATTGCTCTGCTTTCTGCTTCTTGTCCTGTGCTCCCTGATTGATCTGTTGCTCTACCTTCTGATCCCAGTCCTATTTGTTGCTGTATCCCCACTCCCTCCCCAATCTCATGTGTGCCACACAGGGCATTTGTACATATGCTTGCGCCGCAACACCAGGCGATTTTAAAGTGCCCGGCGTTGTGGCCCATGCAGTTGTATAAGTGGCAAAACGTGTGTCAGCACTGAGAAAATGGCAGCAGCATGCTTTTGAACTAAAACACATCGAAGACGTTTTAGTTTAAAAGCATGCCGCTGCCATTTTCTGCAAGCTGGCATGCATTTTGCCGTTTATACACCTGCATGTGATGCAGTGCAGTGCGCATCAGCTCCACTCTGGCATGTTTGAGCATGAAAACATGTGTGTATAAATGCCCGTAGAGACTGCCGGTGCCACCTGTGGCATTCATGTCACAGGTTGGCCATGCCTACAGTTTGCTCAATGCAACTAGTTCCCCTGCCACCTAGTGGTGAGACACTGTAGTAGTGCCTACCTCAGGCAACTCACTTGGGCAAACTGGTTGTCTCCTCCTTACTCTGGAGTAAATTTACTCAGGAGCTAAATCTTCAGGGTCAGTGACTCCAGGGTAATAGTGTTGCTTCTCTGTGCCTGGGGCCAGGCCAATTTAGGGGGCATCCAAAAAAATGGGGATGAGGAGGGGGGATTCTCAACAGAGCACAAGACACAGTAAGCCAGGGCAGAGAAGTCAGTCAAGGAACAGCAGTGACCCAGCAGCAGGGACCCAATGAATAATATCCCTGCCCCAACCCTCTCCCACCCCAGGGCATGGTGGCAGCCAGGGGAAAGTATCTTGCTACAGCTCCATAGGCAGGAGTTCAAGCCTCACTCTAGATTAGTGAGGCCACCAAGCCCACCACCAGCTAAATCATCTGTCAGTGGCTTCCCAGTCATTTGGGCTGGGGAGTCAAAGGATGGTAGTTGTTATCTCCATATGTGCTGCTGGTCACAGAAAGTAACATGTCTTAACAATGCCAACCCAAATGGACTGCTGGGTTTGGGCACAGTTTTTACCTTTCTTTAAGCTGTAGCTGTATCATCCCCCCTATCACTTAGCTGAGCTTCCTGCTCACTCCTCCTTACCCTGCTCCCTTCCAGCCCTGCTCTAGGAGGCCTTTGTCCTTCACTCGTGCCATAAGAAGAGCCTCTCCCTCAAGGAAATACCTTTTGAGCCTCCTGAAGAGAAACAGTCAGACTCTGCTGCCCATGTGCTCTGCTCTCAGAGGCAGACTTATCTGGACAGAGGTCAGAGTTCTACTCCCAGGGCCCCAAGAAGGTTGGAAGAGGGCCAACGTATGACCTCTCAGGTCAGCTACCTGCATAGAGATCAACCAGCACTTCCCTGGGACATTGCAGCGATGCTACCCGTAGTTTCTCGGTAATGTTTCCAGAAGAGAACATACATCTGGTCACATCAAAGGTGTATCTGGGAAAACATCACAGGCCCAGTGAGAGCACCCAGCATGAGTTAACCAGCAAGCCCTTCCCTGGGCTGCATGGCTTAACAGCTCCTTCCTGCTCACTCCCCACTTGTCCCATCCTTATTCCTACCTGATCCCATTGTCCATGTGCTCCACCCAGCCATCATGCCCTAGCAGAAGGCTAACAGTTGGGGTTCGCACCCCATCTGGGGATACTCGTCCTTGCTTGGCTAGTCGTCGTGCCCTCAGAGAAGAAGCAACCGTCTCCCAGAGCTCTGATCCTGAAAGACATGTCCAAGCAGATGGGTTGGTGGGGGGCAGATAATGGCTGTCAGGAGACAGAGCAGCAGGTTCCTCTTACCCAGTTCCTCCCACAGGGCAGCCTTGAAGCAGTCCTTGCTCAGCATGACCAGGTCGCCATGTCGCTGCCAGGAGTGAGGGACGTCATGCTCCAGCTCCTCTGACCACCTGCCCCCAAAGCATGCTACTAAGTGCTGCAGCTCACCACACAGCTTCTGGGCAGGTGACTGGGCTCGAGCAGCCTTGAAGGGGATGGGCTTCTGGGAAAGAAACATAAAGGACTCAGATGTGAAGCCAGGCTCACTCCCTTCCTGAGCTCAGGGCTGGGTCATTTGTGTACCTCCCCTCTCCATGGCTGTTGTGCTGGGTCATTTTCTATTCTTTCCTGCTGGCCAGTTCGTGGGTGAGACGTATTGACTGTACAGGAACTAAAGCAGACCCCCCAAAGGCCACACCCAGGAGTTCCCTGTCAACACCAGATAATGCAGGGCAGTGCCAAGGTACATCTGTCACTGGCTTAGTCTCTTGAGGACTGAAGGGGTCAGGACCCCACCAAGTCCCACACTATACACCTGGCCAGGGCAGGAGGCAGGCTCTGGCAGGCCTCAAAGCACAAAGACTAGTCACTCTGTGGCCAGGAAGCACAGGACACCTTGGTGCCTCTGCAGTGCTGTTCTGCAAAGATCAAAAAAGCAGCCACTAGCTGGGACAGGCATGGTAAACCCCACTCCTGCCCACACCAAGATAGCTAGGACCATTCTGACCTTGATCCAGGACAGTATGCATGTTGTTCCAGGGGCCATACTCCCCCTCAAGTCCTGAAGGTGCTGCTCGGTGAGCTTCCCCTCCAGCACAGGCAGTGCCACGGTACCATCTGGCAGCTTCTGCACCCGGTGACTGACATCTAGGATCCTTGCTCCCTCCAAATACTCCCTGCAAGGCCAAAAAGGCATTCAGGCACCATTCACCTTGCACACCAATGGTTTGCAAACTTTTTAACCAGAGCCCTGCTTTGAGTTACAATCTTGTTCATGCACCCCACTCTCTCCCTCACTCTCTGCTGCCACAGCTAGACAAGAGCCAAGAAGAGGGGGGCAAATACAGGCTGCCCACTGTGGGCTTGGGGCTCCCTACCCTACTGCCTTCCCTCCTAAGCCCCACGCTGGCTGTGCACCCTCTGCCTGACTGGCAGCAGCAGGGGGCACAACTCCATGCTGCCGCCACCCCTGCCATTGCTGAACAGGCAGGGGGTGCCTCACCATGGTGGCACAGCCAGTGTGGGACCCCCAGGAGCAAGGCATCAGGGCAGGGAGCCCCAAGCCTGCAGCCCACACCCACTCCTGCCCCATTCAAAATGGGGGGGGGGGCACGTGCCCCCACAGCTCCCTCCCACCCCAGCCCCATGAATCGCCTTAGCTGGGCAGTGCCTCCAGACCTGCCTTTTCCTGATCCTTGCAGACCATGGTGCACCCCCCACAGCCCTTCACACTTGGGGGGGGGGGTGCACCCCAGTTTGGAAACTGCTGCTCTAGACTCTCTACCAGTCTAGGCCTGAGAAAAGGGTGGTGCGCCATTCATGCTGCTCAGCCCAAGTTCAATGAGCCCCTTGTTTCTTGGGCTGTGTGGTCTATAGTCAGGAAGCCAACTCTATTGCCCGCTCTACCAGAGGCTCACTGCATGGCCACGGGCATGTTGTTACACTCTGCTGTGCCTCAATTTCCCCCTCAGTGTATTGGGAATAGTGATAACGTGCCCACTGGTGTGAAGTGGGGACAATGCTGGCATCCCTCAGGCAAGAGCTGGGCCAGCCACACCACAGCTCTGCTTCTCGTTGCTGCCGCTATTTGGTGCCGAGACTCCAGTGTGCAGGCGGGCGG